AAAGCCTGTCCAAGGGCACCGCTTTCTTCCCTGTTCCTACCTCCTGTGACTGCACAGGGGCTGGACACGCCCCTCAGGGCTCTTCCCAGGAAGCCAGCAAGCCTCCAGCAATGGATGTCTGCCAGCTCCAGGCCACAGGACAAAGGAACACACAGTCAGAGCACATCCCCAGTGTTGGATGTGCCAAGGACTGTCTTACATGATTCTTATCATTCCACTCAAACAGCAGTCAGAGAGGCGCACAGACAGCATGAAGGATGGGAGGCAGGTGGGGGTGACCCGCTATACTCTCAAATGCAGCCACAGTGATGAATAATGAGATCAGGTCTGCCTGATCAGGACTGAGAGTTTCAGGTCAGCCTGGGCTACATAGGGAAACCCTGTCTCAAAGCAAACAAGCAAATCATAACAGGCCAGACTGTCCAGACCTCTGAGGCAGGTTCCAAGCCTTACCTGGCACTACACTTCAGGGTTGCAGGACTGATGGGGAAATAGAAAACAACATGCAACCAGGAGGTGGGGAGCAGTGCGGCACACGGCTCACAGGGGAGGAAAGGAAGACAGGAGCACAAAAGTGGAGCCCAGCGGAAAGACCTCACACCTCCCTGAGGTGACTCCACCGCCAAGGCGAGTCTAAAGAAATGATCCACGGCCACCAAGGAACCATACAGAGGATAATTTAACACAGAAATGGAAAAAAAAAAGAATAAATTACAGGTTATATTTAAAACAGAGTAATATTCAATAAAATTGTGTCTTCAAGAAACTTGTGGAACAATGGTCATAATATCATTTTCAGTGAATAAAAATAAAAACAACTCATCAGATGTGGGATAATTTTTATTTCCTTCTTATGTCCTTTTTAATGTTTCCCAAAGTTTCTACAATGAATGGGGATCATGTTTATCACCAGAAAAAAAGAGAAGTCAGTGTCACGTTCATCGCGCACACCTCAGCACGTCCCGGGAAAGGGCAGAAGTCGGCTGTGGTGGAGTTTTCGTCCTCTGACAAGTACCTGATGGAGTCAACTCCAAGAACATGGAACGTTCTAGATCACGGAGGTGAGGCTGGACGAAGGAAAACAAGCTTTTAAAAAAAATGTCAACTTTGCCCAAGAAGATTCATCTGTGACCATGAAAAGATAGGAAATAAGGCAGAAGAGGGCACATGATTATGTCATTGTCTGCCATAGTCACTGCCCCACTGCCCCAGAGAGGGGCCTTCCTGGCTGGGCCTAGCTCCTGGTCTCCAGGCCGTGCGCCACCTGGCCTGCGTCGGTCCCTGTGGCAGGGGCAACCTTGGTTTCCACTTTCAGGCTGTCTTCTCCCCGGGTAGAAACACACGTTCCAGCACTCTGGGCAGGGGGGCTCTGGTCTTGTGGGGGGAGCAGGGCGGGGGGGCTCTTGCCACAGCTCCCTGCATTGTCTTCATTTACAGCTCATGGATGATTTTGGACTCACGCAGGGGACCGAAGCCCGTGAGCACAGGGTCTGCCCAGTCTTCACCATGAATCCTGCATCACACATCCCAGGGGCCACAGAGGCACCTGCTGGTCAGTGCTTCACAGGGAGGGCAGAGGTGATGGCCCCTTCCAGGCATGATCAGCTGAGGCAGACATCAGCCTCTTGATCTCAGCCTTCCAGCTACATAACGGGAGGACAGCCACACTGTTTGTGTTAGGTCACATGTGTCACCGGAGAACCTTTCCTGGACATTACTGACACTGACCAGACCTTCTATCTCACTGCATTTCGGTGAACTTTCTGCCTGTGTGCAGCTGGCCTTTTGTGTTTCACAACACACACCTCGGTGTTGGTGTGTGTCCTTAGACAGGCCACGCTGACTGGTTCCTTGGTGGGCCTGCAGAGCCTGGCTCCGCCCATAGGAGTGTGTTCCTGACACACAGGAATGGCTGAGTGAATGAGGCTCCCTTGCAGGTGCTGCCTGCGCACAGGGCAAGGCCCACTGCAGAGTGAGTTGGCCTGCCTGCTCCAGCGCAGCCCAGGGGCACTGCTGTCTGAGGTCCTGGACCAAATGCATGGCTGCCCTTAATCACCAGGCCAGTAGCCACACACTTCTTCTCAGACCCTCTGCATCTTCTAGAAAGTATTCCTGAAAGAGGGGATGTCTCTTCACAGCTGAGCTCCAGCATCTGTGCTAGAGATGTATCTGTCCACCCACGAGGCTTATGTGAAGAGCAGTGTCCATGAAGGGAGAAACTTCTAGATAAAGTCAGTGTTCTTTGGGTGTCACCTAGACGAACAGCAAAAGGATAGGTCAAAAGCCAAAAAACCCTCAAAACCCTCTCCCGCCAAAGAGTTTATGGTGGTTTTGGGTCGGTCGTGGGAAGACAGCTCACTCACCAATGAACTGAGCTGGAGGTCCGGGGCAGAAAGCTGGAGCAGCCTTTTAGAAGTTGACTCATTCCACTGGCCGTGGCTGTGAAGTGTGGCCTGCCTCTGAAAAACGGCCTTATGCAGCCCAGGCGAGGGCGTCCATGAGCCGTCCACGGCAGCACTGTCTGTGACAGCAGGAGTCTGGACACAGCCACAGCCAGCACCGGGGCCTGAATGAGTGCACGGTGGCCCAGCCACAGGAGGCTCTACTCAGCTGTGAAGAAAGTGGGGACGTCTCCAGAAAGGGCCCTGGCGAGGCTGTGGGCTGGAGGGACAGAGGAATAGTGGGGAAGAACATTTGGAGCAGACGGCGCTTTGCCAAACTGTGGAGGTTGGGGTACACAGCTGCATGTCCATCGCTGTGTCTTTCCCCAGATTTCGACAAATTGAAGGATAAACTATAAAAACTGTAAAGCCTGTTCCTTCTAGGGGCAGGAAAGAATAATGACATCCCTTCAGACAGACTTCTATGGGTATATCTTATGGTGTAGATTTGACTGGAAACCACGTAACCATTCTGCACTCAATGTTGAACTCAATTTAAGTAGCAATCTCTATGTATCTAATGCAAAGTCAACCAAATTAACCCACAGTGAGTAAAACTGGTGGCAGAACCTCAAGAGAGGACCATTTTGAGTGACTAAAACAACCAGTTGACTGCATATTCTAGTGGATTCTGTCCTAAAGACAGAAAAATAACTGTTAGCCGGGCGCAGGTGGCTCACGCCACTAGCTATGTGGGAGGCTGAGATCAGGAGGATCATGATTTGAGGCCAGCCCAGGCAAATAGTTTGTGAGATCCCATCTCTAAAATAACCAAACCAAAAGGGAATGGAGGTTTGGCTCAAGTGGTAGAGTGCCTGCTTTGCAAGTGCAAAGCCCTGAGTTCAAATTCCAGTCCCAACCAAAATAATAGCAATAACAATAACTGTTAAAAAATATTAGATGATATTAAGTGCTGGCAGGGATGTGGAGAAGCTGGAACCTTATGTGAAAATGGAGGAACCTCAGCCACCTGGGAAAGCTGTTTGACAGTTCCTCACACCAATTCCACTCTCAGATAGAAGAACAAAACATTCATCCACACAAAAACTCGTACACAAATTGTCACATCAACACTATGTAATACAGATAAAAGAACACACACCCATCAGCTGGTGAGTGGATCACGTGAGGTGGTCTCTCTACTCAGTGGGTAATATTCAGCCATAAAAGGGAGCAAAGTACCATTTGGGCTGCAGTGTGGATGGCGATCCTTGAACACGTCGTGCTCAGTGGGAGTGGCTGGACACAAAAGGCCATGTATTATGTGTTTCCGTTCACTGTGTCCAGAGGCAGCAAATCCAGAGATAGCAGATTAGAGGTTACCCGGGGCTGGGGAGGAGGCTGGCGGGGGAGGCTGGAGGGAGACTGTCTGCAGAAGTAGCTACGGTGCACCCCGGCAGTCCAACCCCACAGGGCAGCAGAGCAAAGGACTGTGCAGTGGACAAGAGGCCTCCCACACACTACCTGCAAAGTCAGTGGCCACATGCTGCCCAGGGGAGGATGAGGCACAGGAAGGAGGCATCTCTCCTGAGCCCAGAAGCCCCTCCCCCTGGTATGAGGAACCCTCTTTCCAGACTTTCTGGGCTCTCTGCTCTGTCCCCTCCTCTGTCCCAATCCTACTGCCTGTTCCCCTGTGCCTAGCTCCTAGGCCTTCAGGCTCAGCTTCTCCCCTCCCTGCCCAGGCAGGTCCTGGTAAGAGGGGCTCTCCTCTTGAGATACCACAACCATGCATGATGACCCAGACTGGGCCCACACATTTCCCTCCCGACACCCAAAGTCAAAGGCAAAGCAGGCTCTAACGTTGCCATGAGGGATGTTTGTTGACAGACCCAGGTGGGGGGAACAAGGAAAGAGCACCTTGGGATCCTTCAGGCCCCTGCCCCACTCTTCTGCTTCTACAGAGAGGGGAGGCAGGGCCCGTGGGTGGAAGGGGGATCCATAGGGAAGCCTCCTCACCTCCCCTTCTGCAGGGAGAGGAGTCTGGAGTCCTGGGATTATGGCCTGAGAATTTGCCAGGAGTTGTCCTGGGACCCTACCAAGGCCTCCGAGCTCCACACCCACTGCCAAGGGTCTAAGCCCCTCCTTTCAGACCTGTATAAGCCCAGCAGGTACAGGGGTCAGCAAAGAGAAGTGGACAGTGTGCTCAGCCATGGCCCACAGGACCAGGCTAGGCACAGCACTACAGCCTCCTCCCACTGCACAGGCCACCCACTTGTAGGTCACGCCAAACTGGCATGAGCCCCAGCGGTGAAAAGGGGTGGACCCAGGGCTTGGCCCAGCGCCTGTGTCACCTGAAAGGTGCAGGGAACATCAGATAAAGGAGGTAATGCCCCTAAGGGTCATTTCTGCTTAACTTCCTTTAGGGTGGGTGCCTCTAGGTACAGTCCGCCTCTGTGTCCCCTCACACACTGACCACACACCTCGGCCTGAGCCCAGCACCCGCCAGTGGCCAAGAAACTCCACTGGGAAAATATCTCAGGGCTTTGAAAACTGACCAGTACAATATGTCCCAAATGCAAAGAGGGTAAGTCCAGCCCCTGGAGCACAACCAGCCCTTACCTGGAGCCCGACAGGTACTGAAGCTCTACCTGGGCCGTTTCTCTTCTCGGACATTGCCCCCTGGCTGCAGATGGTTTCCCTGGGTCCAGCTCTTGGGCCTCAGGCTCCTTCTGGTGGCTTGCAACCTCACCGTCTCCTCGCAACCCGTTAGCTGTGTCCACCTGAGGACCTGAGGTGTGTGCCAGGCACTTGTTGGAAGCAGGGTCTTTGGGCTCCTGCTGGCCAGAGGCATCTTCTGAGGGCAGGGCAACCTTGGGGGCAGGTTGGACCTCATCCAGTCTCTCAGGGCCCTTGTCACTGGCCTTTGCTAAGCCTGTGGCAGGGTAAGAGGCACTGATGATGCTCCCTGGGCCACACTTCTCCCGCAAGTGCTCCACTGTGTCCTCTCTGCCGTCCCCACAGCTTCCACAACACACACAGGAATGGAGGAGGCAGTTGGTGGCCGCCGTGCTAAGTTTGTTGGAGCTGTCCCCATTGCCCTCGACCCTGGGCTCCAGAGAGGAAAGGCCATGGCCTGGGGCTTCCTGGGTGGCCACAGCAGAGTCCAAGGAGGCAGATGATTTGGGATTGAAGATGACTGTGGCTGACAGCTTCATGCCTCCTGTCCGGTGGGCGATCATCTCAGCCATCTCAGCATCGTCTCCACTCACCTCCCAGCCATCCAGGGACAAATGCGAGTCCTGGCAGCTGCAGGAGGTGGAGCCTGCGAGACTGGCCAGCCTTATCTTGTCATCCTCGATGTTGTTATTGGTCCAGTCCTCCTTTTCTGTGATAGGAGTGCTGACCTCTGCCCCTCCACTCTGCCCACCCTGCTCTCTCTCTTGGGCATTGGCTCGGGTGCTACCCGCCCACCCAAGTGGGCCACCTGGGGACTCAGGCCCGGAGGGGACCTCGGCCACCTCCACATCATCCATGAAGAACACCCGCTCCTCCTCATCACTGCCTGACTTCAGCTGTGCTCTGCCTGGAGAAGCCTCCCCCCGGGGACTGCCCTCGGCCCCCGACCTGTGTGCTGGGGACTGGCAGGCACTGGGTGGTGACAACAGCGATGACATCTCGTCCCCAGCCCTGTGGACCATGCGGCTGAGCTCCTCTAGCTCCTGGTCATCGTACTGCATGGAGCAGGCCAGCTCTGCCTCCGGGTCTCTGGCCTTGACTGAAAGCGACTCCTCGGGTGGAAGGGGTGCAGAAAAGGCAGGTGCCAGGGCAGTGGGCGCCTGGGCATCTGCCCGCAGGGGCAGCTCTACGTCCTGGGAGACACAGAGGCTCCGCTCCAGCGTGTGCAGCTCCTCCTCCGTCAGTGCCTGCAGCAAATCCCTACAGGGTCAATCAAGACAAAAGTAAGCATGACGGTCCCAAGGGCCACAGCAGCCTTCTGGCCAAGAGTGGGTGCAGACTCTATAGTCTGTATTAGCGGGAAGGCAGGGGTGAGTGCCTGCACTGAACCCACACAGTTCCCAGGATGGGAGGGTGCCGGCCGGCTGAGATTCTAGGAGGGTTTCCTTCTTAAAATTGACATTCTGGAACCACTCATTGAGAACAAGAAAGCCCTGATTCTTAGGTACATGTCAACTGAGTTAATAAAATCTTTTTACTTTTTTTCTATCTGTACTGGGCTTTGAACTCAGGGCCGCTCACTTACTAGGCAGGCACTCTCCCTGCCGAGCCATACCCTTCACCCTTTCTTGCTTAAGTTGTTTTTCAGGTAGGGTATTTCAGTTTTTCTCTGGGTCAGCCTGGACCTTCAACCTCCTATCCATGCCTCGTACATAGCTCAGATTACAGATGCACACCACCACGCCCATCTTACTGATTGAAATGGAGTGTAGCTTTTTGCATAAACTGGCCTGAAATCTCAAGTCTCCCAATCTCCACCTACCAAATAGCTGGGATTATAGTGAGATAGTTGAGTGAGGCAGATAATAAAGAAATATTTGGGTGTTTTGGGGTTTTTTTTTTTTTTTTGGCAGCATTGAGGTTTGAACTCAGGGTCTCACGCTTGCTAGGCAGGAGCTCTACCACTTGAGCTACTTCACCAGCCCTGTTGATTTGTGTTGGGTATTTTTTTGTTTTGTTTTGTCAGATGTGTTGGGCATTTTTGAGATAGGGTCTTGTGAACTCTTTGCCTGGGTTGGCTTCGAACCACGATCTTCCTGATCTCTGACTCTTGAGTAGCTTGGATTACAGGCATGAGCCACCAGCACCTGACTCTTCAGCACTTCAAATATGAATCATTTCATGGCCTGCTGCCTTCCACTGTTTTTGTTTGTTTATTTTTAAAGAAGGTAACTATCTTACGTTTCTTTCAAAGACTTATGACTTTTTTCTCTTGCTTGTTTTTTGGAAATGTCACTATGATTTACCCAGGTATGTTTTTTGTTTTTCTTGCTTCTGGCTTTTTGGAGCCTCCTGATCTAGAAGTAGATTGCTCGTCAGTTTTGGGAAACTTGGTCATTATCTCTTTGAATGTTGCTCCTGCCTGTTCTCTCTCCTGGTTTTCCTGGGACTCCAACCACATGTGTTGGGTGTCTGGGGAGCATTGTGCACATCTCCCCAGCTCTGCTGGTGTTTCCTCCTTGTTTTTTCTTTTCCTTGCACTTTCTTTCCCCTCTCTGTGTCTCAGTTTAGGCCTCCTTTGCTGGGCCATCCTCAAATTCATTACTTGTGGTTCTTCTGGGTCTAAGCTGCTATCAACTCCACCCACCATGTCCTTGTTTTCAGATTCTCAATTTTCTTGGCTCTAGAATGTCATTTTTTTTAAATGAATTTTAATTCTCTAAGTTCTCCATGCTCTTATGCCATTTCTCTCTTTCTTCCATTTTCCTTAGAATATGACTCATAACTGTGTTCGAGTCCTGGTGCGTTAACCCTCACTGGGTCGCGGCATCACCTGTCTGGCTTTTCCCTCAACTGTCAATCATTTGCTCGTACCCCGCACGTTTTTAGCAGTTTGGGGGTTACGTGACAGACACCGGTGTAAGACAGCCTACAGGTGACGGGTTGAGACCGAGCAGCACCTTCAGTCTAGTTACTGCTGCTCTGACCCTCGTGGGTCTCTGTCTTCCAAGACCCCAAAGTCTGCCAGAAACCAGCTCTGCCCTCTGGGTTCCAGCTCAGCCTCCGGTTCCCTGCTCTGTGTAGCTTTGAACTCTGACAGGGGGAGGCTGGCGGTGAGTTTGAGGCCTCCTGAGCATCTCAGAACAGCGGGGAACCTTCAGGAGTTTTCTGCCCCATCCCTCCTCTCCCACCTTGGCAGGTGGCCTGCCTGATGCCCCTGGCTCCCCTGTGTGACAACAGGCCTGTGCCACTGGGTTTCCTCCAGAGAGTTTTGGACAAGCATCGATGGCCACCTGAGTGCTCAGTGCTTCCTGGGAAAGAAGAGCCAGACAAGATGGCCAGCCCACCCTCCCCACAAAGGCTCCCTCTTCTCGGGTTTTGGTTTATCCAGTCCTCACTTGTACAGTTCAGTGGTCTTTAAATGATTTTTCAAACTTATCCAATTTTTTTCCTAGTACTTATGACTGGAAAATGACTACAGCCTGAGGCAGACTACAGCCAAGGCAGAAGCCTCACCTGCATTTATTTATTTATTTACTTATTCGTTTGGTGGTGGTTCTGCAGTTTGAACTCGGGTCTTGTGCTTGCTAGGCAGGCCCTCTACCACATGAGTCACCCCACTACTCCTCATCTGCATTTTTAAAAAAGTTGTGGAGATGCCTGGTCATGTTTGCTTATATTTAATAGTGGTCATTTGTTAAAATATCCACTCACAAAACTTCATCTTGTTCATTATTACTTTGCAACAGACTCCAAGTCCATGTTTAGCACTCTAGTTACCTCCTCTGGCTCTTCTTTCTCAGGAGTGGCACACAACCCTAAGATGAAGGCTTCTGTGTTCTGAAGCTCTTTTTATAAACATCAGAAGACAGTGATGATCTCACCCTTGAAGGAGCAAAGACCACCTGCCAATGCTGCAAGAGCGCGAGACTCCATCCACAAGGGAAGTTCACAGCTATGGTCACTTCCCACTGTCTGGACTCGTAACACCTCTGGCTCCTCACAGGGCAGGATTCTCTGCTCTCTGTGTCCCCAAAGGAATTCTGGCCCTGGCTGGCTGTGCCTGAGGCCGCCCTGTGCCAGGCAGGTCTAAGGAGGCCTTGGGATGTTCTATTGGACCTGGGGAAGATGTTGCAAAGCCCCTTGGAGATAACTTCACTAGCACCCAGAGACCAGGGCCATGGGAAGAAATACCTGGATGTCCAAGGCCACAGGGCTAGAGAGACACTCAGAGGACCAGTGTCCATGCCAAGAAACCACTCCTGGGCTCTGTCAGCTCAGGGATGCCACTGGGCAGAGAACTCAGCCAACAGGACAGAAAGCTCTTGCATTTTCAAAGGACTCCAATGCTTCAACACAAACTTTAAAAAAATAATTAAAGGCAAAGACCAACATTTGAGCATCACTGACTGGAAAGAAGGAAACTGGGGCTTTTGATGTCAAAGGTAAACCTGAGGAAGTATGAAGTCTACTACTCCCTAAAGCCCAGCACAGAAGAGCTACTGACCACAAGAGAGGCCTGGGCACAGCAAAAGCAAGACCAGCCTGGACCATCATAGGGTCATGTACAACCTGTGAGGAAAACTACTGGCCCTGAAGACGTGAAGGGCACTAAACCCTTGCAACCAGAACCCTCCCCTTCTCCCGACCTTCTCCTCCTATCTCCCCCTTTTCTCTCTCCCCATTCCTGCCCCGTCCTCACCTTATTTTCCGTAGCAATGTGTGGAAGGGTCGGAACAGCTCAGACATGTCCTCCACCTTGCGGTCCAAGTTCAGGGGTCCATCCGCATAGACCACAAGGCCACTGTATTGGAGACACACAAGTCGGTCTGGTTAGATGCTGTGGCTCTCTGAGTGAGCTTCGGATGCCCCAGCTTCAACACAGAAGCTCGCTAGGACCCACAGCAACCCTGCTCAGTGCAGTTATAGCCTTGTTTTTTACCTCTCGTAACTGAATCTTAAGTAAGTTTGGAACAGGCAATGAAAATTATTACCCAGATTTGATCACCTTTTCAAGTTGATTAGCTATGACTATGGCAGGGATCACAAATAATCCTAGAATATATTTACGCACATCAGTGTTGCGATCAGAGAAATTAGCATCAAGATTTGTTACTAAAATCCACCTCCCTGAAAATGGAACAATTTATGGAGGCTCCTGAAAATCAGATCTGAAACCATCTGCTCCAGAAGCTGACCCAAGCTGAGACCAACGTCCCACATGGGTCTCCCGTCACCCTTCAGAACAAAAGCTGGAGAACTGAGGTCCTGCACGGGTCACTCGTCACCCTTCATGACGGAAGCTGGAGAACTAAGGTTCCACACAGGTCCCGTCACCCTTCAGGACAGGAAGCAATGTCACGTTGCCCCCCGACAGTACTGACCTCTCCAGTTGTCCACCATGCCTCCACAGGCACTCCCTCCCCTCAGCATCTGCTGATGGCCAGCCTTGCTCAGATGTCACACCTGGATGGCCCTGATTCTGTCATCTCTTTTCCTCTGCAGGCACCACCACAGCTGCCACCCCTTGCCCAGCTCCAACTGTGCCTCCATCAGCAGGTCCTGACTCGTCTCTTCCCAAGAGCACCATCTCCATCACCCTGCTCTGGGTGCTTCCTCCTGGGTGTCTTGGGACAGACAGCTTAAGTCCTGGCATGTCTTGGGTACCAAGGGAATGTCCACTTGTTCTCTTGCTTCTTCATCAGAGCACAGATGAGAGCCACTCAGGCTTGTCTGCACTGAGAGCTCCTGCTTGTCTCTCTGCAGATGTGACAGGGCCTTCATGTGACAGACATGTCACCTCCTCCCATGGGGTCCCCATCAGTGTGAGAACAGTCTTTTGTAACATATCCAGTTCAGTGAGAAAAACTAGAAGAAGGGACTGTTTTTCAGGAAAGATATGGCTGGGTCATCTTCTGGGGCATGGTGGTGGTGAACAGTGGCAACGGCTCTGCCAAGTGGCTGTCTGACTCACACTGTGGGCAGCAAAAGAGTCTGTGCAGTAAGGAGGGACTGTGTCCTAAGCACATAGATAGGAGTAGAGGACAGTCAGGCTGGGCTTCCCTGATGTTTATCTGTTTTATGGACCTTCCATGAGCTGACCGTTCCAATGAAATGAACAGAATTCAGGGGACAATTTCACAAGACAGAACCTCACAGGTGAACCAAGTGGCCTCAGGACACTGGCAGAGTAAAAGTGGACAGAAAGGGTATGTGGGGGTGTGAATGCTGCCCTGTCCCCAGCAACCCCCAAAGTTCCATCTTTCAGAAAGCCAAGAAGGGGACAGAAAGAGTCCCAGACTTGGAAGCCCCACCCCACCCTGAGCAGAGAGTCCTGCCTGCTGTGCCTGGATGTAGCCCTGAGATGACCAGTCTCCTGAGCATCTGCACCTCTAGATGCCTTGTGGTGGCATGGCAAGGGGCAAGGCGCAGGGGTCAGCTGCCCCAGAAGAGCACCGAGAAGGGGCCATGGCCCACAGGACCTGACATGGTCCCAGGGCTCATCTGGGGCCTCTAGAAAGAACCTATTAATAAGGATGGTTCAGTGCACTGACCAACAGGCTACTGGGTCCCCCTGCCCTTGGGCAGTGAAGGGGCCTCAGAATGTTCCCTCGGCAGCATCCCAGGGCCCAGCGGTGTGTCTGTGCCACACTCTGGAGCTCTCAGAGCACCAGGTGCTCGGTGCTGGCCCACTGATCTGCTCAGTGGCTCTGGGAAGTGCCTAGACCACATAGAGAAGCAAGGAGAAGATGCACAGAACAGCCAAGCTGTCAGTGTCCCTGCAGACAAGGCCAAGGTTGGCCACTGGGTCCCAGGAGGAACTCAGCAAAGGCCTGCACAATGTCTAACTGGCCCATACACTGGGCCCTCAGGGTTCATGGACGTGTGCCTGGTGGCAGCTGGAGGCTCAGGGCATACCTGGGCCCAGGATATCCAGGTGGGAACCAGGAAGTGGCTAGAAACTGAGGCCAGGAAGGAGCACCCAGAAGAAATGGTTGGGTCTGATGCAGCTGTGACTACAGCTACTGCCCGACAGGCTTGGGGTGCAGGCATTGTACCATAGTGGGACACTCAGGCCTATTTCTTGCCTCACTGAGGAGAGGAAGGGCAGCAGCACACACTGAGCCTCTAGGCCGCTGCAAGGGTGGGTGAGATGGAATTCACATAACCACCCTTAGTAAAGTATGTAACACGGTGCCATTTAGTGTGTGCACTGCTGGTTTCAAACCTTTCCATCACCCCACAAGAACACTCTTTAAGGAAACACCCCATACTTCCTGCCCCCACCTGACTTTCTGGCTGTAGGAATTTGCCTAACCAGGACATTTTATACAAATCAAATCACACAGTCCATGCCCTTCTGCACCTGGCTTCTTTCACTTCGCACCATCCTTTTTACGGGCAATGCTTCATTGTGTACATTTACAACTTCTTTATCCGTTCATCCCTCGGTGGGCATTGGTTACTTCCACTTTTAGGCTGTTATGAATAATGCTGACACGAATGTTCTTGTACATCTGCGTGGACAAGTTTTCATGTCTCGTGGGTATGTGCCTAGGAGGGTATATGGGACTACCATATGGACCATATCATTGTTTGACCTTTTTCTTTGGGGGGGTGGTACTGGAAACTCAGAGCCGCACACTTGCTAGGCAACCACTCTACCAATTGAGCCACTCTGCCAGCCCTTTTGTGTTGGTTGTTTTTGAGATAGGGTCTCTATACCCAGGCTGGCCTGACATCTGGACATAATACTCCCATTTGCACTTCCCTGTGTAGCTGGGATGACGTGTGACAGTGCACCCAGCTATTGATTGACATGGGGACTCAACATTTTTCCTGGGCTGGTCTGGAACCTAATCCTCTGATCTCTACCTCCCGAGTAGCTAGGATTACAGGCAGGAGCCACCACGCCGCGTCTCTTTTGTTTTTCTTTCTTTTTCTTTTTCTTTCTTTTTTTTTTTTTTGTATTATCGTTGAGTCTTGCTATATAGCCCAGACTGGCCTCAAACTCAAGATCCTCCTGCCTCAGTCTTCTGAGTGCTGAGATTACGTATGTGAGCCACCACGCCTGTCTCTGTTTTGCTGTTAATGCTTTTTTTGTTGCTTTGCTTTTTGCATGGTACTTGGGTTTGAACGCAAGGCCTCACGCTTGATAGGCAAGAGCTCTACCACTTGAGTCACAACACAGTCCACTTGCTTTAGTTATCTTTCAGGTAGGTTCTGTGTTTTTGTCTAGGGGCAGCCTCAGACTATGATCCTCCTACCCACAGCCTCCCATCTCCTGCATAGCTGAGATCACAGGCACATACCACCATACCCAGCTTATTGACTGAGACGGGTCTTGCTAACTTTTTACCCAGGCTGGCCTCTAACCATGATCCTCCCAATCTCTGCCTCTCTAGTAGCTGGGATTATAGGCATGAGCCACCACAACCAGCTGGTGCTAGTGATTTTGAATTATTTGAGAACATGGATATTCACCTCTTGCATTAGTCAGGAGGAGAGGGAGGGAGGGAAGGTAGGAAGGAGGGAGAGAGAAAAAGGGCTAGAGAGATTTTTAAGGATTGGTTTACAGGTTGGAGAGGCTGGCTCGTGGGGACTCAAGGAAGCTGCTGATGGTGCAGCTCGAGACTAATGATAAGCTACTCAGGAGGTGGAGATCAGAATTGTGATTCAAAGCTATCCAGGGCAAAAAGTTAGTGGGACCTCATTTCAACCAACAAGCCAGGTATGGGGGTGCCTCCCTGTGACCCCAGCTACATGGGAGGCATAGGTAGGAGGATCTCAGTCAAGGCTGACACATACAGAAACTCACAACCTTATCTGAAAAATAACTAAAGCAAAACAAGGGCTGAAGGAGTGGCTCAAGTGGTAGAGCGCCTTCCTGGCAAGTGTGAGGCCCTGAGTTCAAACCCCAGTACCACTGTAGGCTGCTGTGGTCTACATGGGCAGATCTGTGCATGCTCTGCCTATGGTGAACACATACTGTGAGAGAGGAGGGAGGAAGGGAGGAGCTGTGGCCAACAGAAGGGGTCGGGCCAGGAGTGGGGGCAGGTCAGAGAACTAGGTCAGAACAGGTAGACATGGGAAGTGCCCCATGTTTGTGCTCAGGTGAGGACAAGGGAGGGAGATTGTGTAGATAGAGCCCAGGCAAGGCCAGGTGTGAACAAGTGGGCTCCTAGGCAAGCAGCACCACTGACCAGGTCCATCATAGCCTGTCAGATTGGGACTGAGAAGTGACCACTGGGTCTACAGGTTTTAGTTTCTTTATTCTTTTAAAGGAACTGTTTCAAGATCAATTCCTTAAAATAAAACCAGTTTGTCCAAGTCTGAGCCATGGGGAGACCTACACTCTCTGGACACAATTCCCTCCCTCATAGGCATTTCAGTATCCCTAGGACAAGCATGAAGCTGGGTATACAGCAATCACTCAATGCATGCTCATTGTATGAGCACAGGAATGAGCAAATCCTCAGCTGGCCTCTACCTGGGCAGCTATGGCCTGTATGTGTCTGGCCTAGAGTAAGGGACCACTGGGCTTCAGATCCTCCAAGGACCCAGTGACCATTCCACAGGGCAACCTAAAAAAGTAGTCTGTTTTTGACCTGATTGCTCAGGTCCACAGCCTGGCTACAAGGCCAGAGACCTGCTCTTCCTTCACGCTTATTACCTGAGCCTCCCTCAGTTTCCGGGGGATCCCCTCAGCTCCTTCCTAGGCCCTGCCTGTGGCCTGAGTCCAGAGCCACTTGGTGCCAGTTCCTCCAGGAGGGGGAGGAACTGCCCCCACCCACAGAAGCCCAGCCCTCATTAAGTTCCAGGCCACAGGCTCTGGGTGGGCTATAACCCTGTTGTCAGCAGGGTGGACCCTGAGGCTAGCACACAGTGACACTGGTCACTGATGGCGATGGAGGCTGGTAAAGAGCTAAACAAACATGGGTAACAGACTCCAGCGTGAAACCAGAACGGTGTGTGTATGTTTGGGGTTGGGGGGGGTGTCTGATCCCTTCATTTATTTTAAGACTGAGGTGCTGCCCAAGGAAGATCTGAACCCTCTGAATCACTTCCCTCTGCCCGCATAGGGCCAGGCAGGCAGCTGGTAGAGAGGGACACCCTTAGACATGCATAGCCCAGGATGGCAGAGCTTTTTGGCCCTCAGACCCCATCAGCTGCTCTGCGATGGGGCCACGGATGGGTGCTATGCTTCAAAGAACTGTTAAAAAGAAAACCAGGGTTTCCCATGACACCTGCTCTTGAGGAAACACTCAGAGATCCCATCCTGGAGCGAAAGTAGGAGGTGCTCAAGACCCCATGCCACATCACCCTGGCCACTGAGGACATCCAGTCCTCCAGCTTAACATCCTAAGGTGAAGGGGAATCCCCAAATTCTACTGATTAAGGGTATTTCAAAGTGCCATTCCACCAGACATGACAGTACATGCCTGTAATCCCAGCACTCAGATGGCTGGGGCAGAGGACAGTGATCAAGGTCAGCCTGGGCTATATTGTGAGACCATCTGAAAAACAAAAAGCAAATTAAAATAAAATAAAGTAAGAGTCCTGCCCTTCATGTTTGAACCCTGTGAGAAAGAAAGGACAACAAGAGGCGGGGGACGTGGCCTGAGTGGTTAGAGGGTTCTAGAAAAGCTGCTGGGGCCAGACAGCACCCAAACACCAGCCTGGAGGCCTCCCCAGAAAGTACCTGAGGACAGGTGAGCAGCAGGCCTGGCTGGGGTGGGTAAATTCATGCCAGTGCCCTGCGCTTCTCCCCCTGCACAGCTTGTCCCTGTGGTGAGGGGGGCATAGCCATCCACTGCAGGCCCAGGACGAGGACCCTGTCCTGACACACCAGCAGTGCCCCATGCTCCCACTCTGCACCCCCACGTCCCACGGAGCAGAGTCTCCGGGGCCTCAGTGTGCTGCTATGTGTGCTATGCTCCAGGGTTCCCAGGGAGCCTCAGTGCAGCCTCTCCACAGCCTGGGCCTGGACCTGGCCTGGTCTCTGTGCCCACCGTGCCCTCCCCAGGGCCACATCACTGACAAAAACATCTCCAACAGGCATCTGGCCCCAGGATTCCCCACCCCCACTCTGCTCAGCTCTGCACCTGTGTGCGAGCTGCCCACTGGGCTGCCTCCCTCACACATCCTTCCTCCTCTTGCCTCTGTGACCATCCCTGTGTGGCAAGAGTCAAAGTGTGCATAAGCAGCTGTAGAACAAGCTCCATACACCTGGGCTCTGCCCTTGACCCTGAGAAGCTCAGAAATGGTCAGCAAGTGACTAGCATGTCCTGTCTCGGTACATTCAAGGACCCATGAGCTGCCTTGACAGCTTTGACCCTGCAAGGCCCCCAACCTGTGAAATCCTTGCTCTCCCCAAATTCTCCCCACCTTGCTATTGGGAAAAGATTCCCTCTAGGTGTCCCATCTACCAGCCAGGCTGCAGCACACTTGTCTTCAGCCTAATGGGCTCAACATCCCTACCACCCAGAAATTATCCAAGCAAACCAATCACTACAAAGTCCTCTCCCATGCCCCACTCGGCCACCATGCTCCCGAGTGTACCTGAGTGGCCCTGTGTGGTATGCAGTCCACCTCCCCCAGGCTGTGAGTACCTGTGGTGAGCAGACTGCTGATCTCACCTGTCTAGTGTCAGGTGGCCAGGACCCAGCCATCATGCACTGGTTAGGGTGGGAGCTCCCTTCTTCAGGGAGGACAGCAGGCTGGTCTGGTGACTGCTCTGAGGGCTGAACAGCCACTGCTGGCCGGCTGTAGGAACCATTTTTAATACTCAGAAGGGGCCTGGCACTATCAGACTAGACAGTCCTACCAGAACTCTGCTTCATGACAGTCCCCAGCAGGAGGACACTCACCACACAATGGCCAGCCTGGGGATGGTGAACATGAGGGCTGGCTCATAGTCATCGATCATGTCCTGGGTCAAGTACCCGAAGTCCAGGGCCCTGGCCGAGGGAAAGAGGGAGTCAGCAGGGCGTCCATGGGTCAGATCCGAGTGTGGGGAGAACAGTACATTCAACCCTCGCTTAGCAGACAGGTCAGAAGGGTGGACCTCCACCACTATAGCCCTCACACATGCAAAGAGCTGATGCTGGAGAAAAAGGGCACACCACTCAGGCAGAGGTGACTGAGGCTCAGGCTTCCATCTTTCCTTCTGCCTGCTCCCACCTCTGTCCCAGGAAGGGATGGAGTACACTGGGAGGTGAGTTATCCAGGAGAGATATATTTTGTTCCAGTGAGTGTCTGTTGTGACATCCCACAGGACAAAACAAGGGTCATCCAGTCAATGCTTTCCTTACCCAGGAAATCTAGTGCCAAGAACAAACATGGGACAAAAATATTCCCCAAACATCTGATACATCCTGAGAAGCTGGGTTATTTTCACTCCCCAGCCACACGCAGATGGCTTCTTTGACACCCAGTGAGCAGGTGCTGCTGTTGTCAGGACTTCAAAATAAAAGGTATTTTCTGTCACCTTGTTTTCTGGCAATTTGAAATATCTCTCAAAGCATATTGTCTTTTGAAAAATAACAAACTTATGGTGTGACTCAGTCAATTTCAAAACTTACAATACCATAGCACAATTAAATCAGAGAAATACCCCAGGTGAACTCTTGGCCCCAAAATCTGCTTAGAAAATCTGACTTCAGGACTGGAGATGTGGCTCAAGCAGTAGAGCACCTGCTTTGCAAGCAGAGAGCCCTGAGTTCAAACATCAGTCCCACCAAAAAAAAGAAAAGAAAATCTGACTTCAAAATACTGCATAAGGCCTGAGAAGGCAGGTGACCCCCACCCCCCATTCTCCCCCTACCCAGGGACCGTGCTCAGCAGGCTTGAGGTCCACAAAGACCCACCACAGGCTCTGGAGGTGAGAAGCCAGGAGCAGTGGAAAGGAGAGGGGAGGAGGGAGGGGAAGCCTGGGCAGCTGAGCCTTCTGCTCTGTCTTCTGTCATGTCACTCCACCTGCAGCAGGTGCTTTTTGGACCACAGCAGAGGCAACCTGGACGAAGTAGACGAGTCAGGGTATACCCTCTGCCCTCAGTGAGAAGGATGTGGTAGGAGTGGCAGCAGGCTGCAGCTTTCCCGCCTGGGCATCCCAGACAAGGCCTGACCTCGGCTGCCTCCATGAGGCCTGGCATGGTGCAGGAGAAGCAGCTGTCCTCACCTCTCCACAGTCTCGCAGAACAGCACGATGACCTCCTGCTGCACATAGTACTCCCTGGGAGACTTCACGGGCACCATGGCTGAGACGTAGCTGCAAACACAAGGTGTGTCAGGCTCTAGGGCCATCCGGGTCTCCTGAAGAAGGGTCTCAAAATTAAATCCACCACTCTCAACGCTGCCCTAAGGCCCACGATGTGCAGACCCCTGCTAGACCCCTTTGTCACACCTCCTCTTGCCTCTGCATGGAGCCCCCCAGGAGTTAAATGCGCCAACAGATGGCAACAAATTCCCTGACTCCTCCCTCTACAGAATTCTCTAGTTGGAAACACAGAATGCCCCCAAAGAGAGGGCACCCCCAGACTCAGGGCAAAGGCTAGGACTCCCCACACCCACAGCACACTTTCGGGGTCCTCAGGGTCACCTCAGCTCGAACTCGGCAAACAGGACATCGAAGTGCCTCAGTGCCTCCCTCATCTTCTCCGTGTAGGTGTTGAGGTCCCGCAGCGCCTGGTCACGGAGGGTACCCCGCACGTCTTCCAGGCTGCGGGTGAGCTCCTTAGCCAGAGGCCGCATGGCTATGCTCTCAAGCTCACGATTCATAATGATGGAACCCGCGGCCAGGCACTGCAGACAGGAGAATAGGCTTGGGAGAGTCCAGAGTTTCTAGGGAACTTGACCCTGCACACCCTGGGCCCTCAGCACCCATCTTCTCTCTGGGCCAGGACCCGACACCCACACCTGGTCCCCTCTCCCAACGCTCCTCCTAACTTTGAGCAACAAAGGCAACAATAACAAGTGCCCAAGTGTCTCTTATTACAACCCACTTGATGTCCACATGGACCCAAGAGGCAGGCAGGAGGACCCCAGTGATGTGACTCATGCCCCCTCCCAGGCCAGCCACGGGGTGACTGTTGTGAGGCCAGAAGCTCCCAGAGGCCACACCAAGAGCTGTGCCCTCAGCACAGTGCAGCAAGGCTGACCCACCTCTCCAGGCATGTGCTGTTTATGGAGGTCACAGAGGCCTCCTGTACACACTCAGGCTCAGAGAAACCGATGGCCCTCAGAACCCAGACTCAAGCCCATGAGATCCCGCGGCTCCAGCTGGCGAGGAGGCCTCTGTGTCCACACATCCCCAGCATCTGCCTGGGCCTCTTGGTCAACACTCAGTAACCTGGGGTTTTGCCAATTGCTCTTAGGCCAGGAGTGGAGGGTTGTAGCTAGCCCCCGGGTGGGCCTCTTGGGGTGTGGACATTCATCCACTGGCTGGGCCTTTGCCAGGTTGGGGCAGAACGAAGCAACCAGTCCACTGGCAATGACCAGTCAGGACAAGAAGCAATTTCCTGAGTGGACAAGGGAGAGGACTGCTGGTTTCCCAGGCCAACCCTGGAGCTATAGGTACTGAACCACACTTGGAGGGATGGGACCCCAGTGCACATGTGCCAGCCAGGCTGGTAGGGCAGGACCCAGGGCCCACTTCACAGAGGTGAACACTGAGGCTGTGGGGCCCAGCCTGCTGGGGCCATAGAACCCTGGGCAGATGGTCCAGAGGGGGCGGGGGTGGAAGGATGGGGTGGATAGAAGGACGAGGTAAACCAGGGCACAAAGTGGGCAGATTCAGGGATGCATGGGGGTCAGGGAGGATGGGAACAGCACAGACATGTGGTAGGTAACAGTCTGACCCCTGGGTCCCCAACATCTCAAAAGCACAGCCGAGGGTGTTCCCTTGGTGAAGGAAGCTGGACAGACACTGGTCCTCCCACCTCACGGGGGGGTGCCTCAGTTTCCTCATTGGAAGATGAAGATAAAGACATGATGGACTATTGTGAGACGTGATGAATGAGGCCCTCCAGGAGAGGCCCCCTCCCTCTGACATCATTGCTATGGGTTGGGGAGGAGGACCACCATTTCTGATACTGGTGTAATTGTTATAAAGGACCTATTTGGGGGTCCTGCATGTGCAGTTTTGTGAGTGGCAGTCTGAGCTCTCCTCAGACCCTCTCAGGGGTACGTGGCCCAAGAGGCTCAGACGGTACCATCTATCAACTCCAGTGGGCGGAATCCTCGGAGGAGACACCAGGCCCCTGCACTGCGGTGCCCACATACAGCAGGCTCACACAGAAATGTCTGGACAAGGCCATTTAGCATTAGGACCCTGGAACCCAGGCGGCCGCTCGCTACCTCAGCGCCGAACCACAGCTGGCCAGCCAGGTTGTCGTGCCGGATCTCCTCGGGAAACTTGACGCAGAAATCCCGAGGCGCCCGGTCCTGGGGGATGCACTCGTCCATGATCTGACTGATGATGTTTAGCACGTTATCCTGAGACAGAACGGAGAAGGCCTTTCGATCACTGTGTCCAACTGACCGCTGTCACACACCAATGGGAAACACACATGGTGGCATGGCTTACTGCTTCTTAGGACTATGAAAGTGGCCCAGCTACACACCGGACTTGCTGTACAATTGCTACAAAAGGGTCAAACGTTCTGGCAGTGTCTAAAGTGGAGGGAAACTCCTACTTCCCTCCCCAAGGCCATTGCTCGGGTAGGGTCCTCTAGAGTCAGCTGCGAGCACACTGTTCTGCAACCTTGGTCATTTCATGACTGTAGGGAGCTTTCCCATCACCCTTTGTAACAAATGATGTACTTCTTACAGGAAGATGACACACTCTCTCCTGCCTGGCTCCCTGCAGGCTGGACGCCATGACCACCCTGAGCACCTCTCTGCACACTGTCCAGGTTCTCCTGAGGACAGAGTTGGCACAATGGAACTGCTATGTCAACAGGCTCATAGGAGAATTTGCTTTCCGTGCTGCTGCTGGACAAACCTGGGCCGCCCTAGGTATGTTCACACACTGCCAGGCTGCAACATTGCACGGACACTGTCTAAGCCAGCACACAGTCGGGATACCTCACTGTCCCTACAGCCGAATTAATGCCCTGTGTAAGCAAACCTCTCCCAACCCCAGTGATGGCTGGCTGGATCTCAGCAATCAGAAAACTGATTTTCTCCTCATAGAGTGAGGGGCACAGACCCAAGTCTTAGGGCTAGATGAGGGCAGGGTACTTTTCACCAGGCAGCAGCCTGACCACCTGCTCTGGAATTAGCAGACAGGAACTGCAGGGTGCATCTCAGGGCAGCAAGGGAGACCTGACGCCACCCCTCGGCTGTGCAACCTGGGGCAGGGTGTTCCACTCTCTGATGCCTCAGGCCTCACGTGCAAAACAGAAACCATGGTTCTGGGGTTGCCTGGAGGATCATGTGAGGAAAAGTGTGTGAACTCTTGGCTCTGTCCTAGCCCACAGCAAGCCTCAATACAGCACAGCATTTGTTTTAAAGTTCCTTCAAAGCTGTTTTACTGAACTTGCTCATGCTCAAAATACAAAGTGCAACAGACCGAATGCTTCCTGTATGAAGAAGAGCGTTTCATTGTGTCTTAACTTATGGCTCATTCTTTCCTTTAAAATTGCCCCACTCTAGTAACACCTACCATTTATTCTAAAGAACTACAAGAACAGTGAAAGTTTATGTTTCCCTTTACTTTTTAAAATACAAAATTATCCTTTCCCTTTTGTGTGGCACTGGGGTTGAACCCAAGGCCTCATGCATGATAGGCAGGTGCTCTGCCACTGACTTTCACTTCCAGCCCCTAAAATGTGAAAGAATTAATGTGCAATGAGCACAGGCAGTCTGAAAGCCATGGAGAAGCACGATGTGTTTCCTTCCAATCCTGTCTCCCACAGGCCTGTTTCTGGTCAGAGTTGAGATCGTCCCGTGTATTCTGCTGCTGTCACCTACTATTGGGACATGTCATAATAACTCTTCACCGAGGTGGGTGCAGTGGCTTACACCTGTAATCCTAGCTAGTCAGGAAGCAGAGATCAGGAGGATCGTGGTTTGAGGTCAAGTGGAACAAAAGTTAGCCAGACCCCATCTCAATCAGTAAGAGCTGAGTATGGTGGCGTGTGCCTGTCACCCCAGCTATGCAGGAAGTATTAAATAAAAGGACTGGCTCCAGGCTGGCGTGGGCATAAATATAAGACCCTATTTGTAAAATTCATAAAGCAAAAAGTGTGAGGAACACGACTCAAGTACTAGCGCACACAGTAAGTAATGCTGCCGTCACCATTGTGCTGTACGATGCTCCGAGTTTCGCTTAACTTCCTCAGGACACAGATTTCTGGAAAAGGAATCACCCAGTCCAGAGCGCAAAGTGCAGGGCTGACTTGGATTAGATTCTGCCAAGTCAAGATGGCGCTAATTGACACTCTCACCCTCCACAGTTTGCGTTTTGACTTCCTTCCCTTCTGCTATCTGAGGCTTCAGTTTCATTTTTCTTAGAAAGCAGATATGGAAAATCACCACAAGCAGGAAAACCTGATCTCCCTAATGCACAAAGTCTATGCACCACGCTCTGAAGGAAAGTCTGCAGTGTAAGGAAAATGTTAAGACTTAACAGGACAAAAAATAAAAAGAGAATCCAGCTACACCACATGGTGCTACTGTCAGTTTTTTCCAACAGGTTTTCTGGGTAAGAAGGTCTCTTTGTCATGGTTCAATAAACTAATGAACAAATAATGGTAAAAACAATAGTCAGGGCTCAGCAAATGCCAGCCGTCACTGAGAGTTGGGGATCTGAGGTTCAGCAAGGTGGAGGGGCTTGACCAAGGTTGCACAGCTTCTGGTGCAGTGTTAGGACTCACCACCCATGTGGCCTGGTCCACCAGAACAGTAGCTGCCTGAGGACAGGGTCTTTGTCATGCACCAGTGAGTCCCAGTGTCCAGAACAGCACCTATCACAAAGTGTACCTTGACAGACATTGCCTGGGACTTCTAATGCCAGTCAAGATGGATTGGCGGAACCAAATTTACCCCACTCCAAACAGCAGCCATACAATGACCCTCAGACACTGGACATCAGACAAGGAAATGTAGTGACTCTCAAAGACAGGAAGAAAACAAGGTTAGCCTGGGACAGTCCAGCTCACTACCTGGAGGGAGCACCATGTCACAGCACAAGGAGGAAGCGAGGAGAAGGGAAGGGGGCCCAAGGTAGCTCAGATCCCAGGACAGAGTAGCAGGGAAGACAGAAAAGCCCAGGGATTTGGGGGTGCCTTTGAGGGTTCAGCAGAAACCTGACAACACAAAACTGTGTGACTTTCTAAGCCCAGGAGAGAAGCCCCACAGGATTAGAGGGAGTGGGGAAGAAGCCCCCACAGAGCACCAGGGGTACACCCAAAAGTGTGCGGCCTCAGTGAGGAGAAGGTAACCCTAAGCTAACACAGCTCTGATCGGCCTAACAGCTTAAAAACAGAATCCGAAGGAGCAAGTAGCTTCTAAGTAACTAAGCATCACAGAACAAAGCGCAAAACTACTTACAGAAATAGCACCAATTCCACACAAACTCATCTAAAAACACTGAAGAGGAGAGAATGTTCCCTGACACAAGTCTAGCACTACCCTGAAATCAAAATCAGACTGAGCCAGGGTCCCTCATGAATACTGATACAAAATCCTTAATAAAATTTCAGAAAATTGAACTCAGCAATACATAAACAAGAATAATATCATGAACAAGTAGAATTGGTCCCAGAAATGCAGGAGTCCTTTTTCCTAACATTTGAAAATCAGCCATCATGTGCTCAGGCTCCTTGTGGACCGTTAAGGCAGAATCTCTGGGTTGGCACCGATACCTTTTCAGCTATCAGGTAACTCTGCTGCCCAGTGAGGACTGAGAGCCAGTGACAGAATGAATTCTGCATTTTCTTAGCTGCATGTGTGATCTGCTCAGCTTTGTTTTGTTTTTGTTTTTGTGAAATGGGGATCAAACCTGAGCCTTTCACATACCAGGCAGGAGCCACATCACCAGACCTTCTGCATTTAAAAAATAACCTATTTTCATTAATAAATAAGTCACATTATTTTTTAAAAGAAAATAAAGATTTAAATCAGTCAGCCAGGCACTCCTTTCTCAATGATATTTTACTTGCTGTGTGTTAAGTACTAGGGACACATTAGCTAATGATGTAGACAGACAGACAGCCCTGCAGTCAGACAAAGCCCTGCCCTCATGGAGCCTGCATGCTAGAGTTGTTGGGTAATGGGTTAGATAATAATAGAAGCAGTCAATATTCATTGAGTAAAAAACCCAACCAATGTAATTTACCATATTAAAGTTTACCATATTTAAGTGATTATTTTAATAGACAACAAGAAAGTATTTGGAAAAAAATCCAAGCCACGTCTGGAAGAACCCTCAGAAGCTATGAATAGAAGACAATTCCTGTAGCCTCATAAAGGGTATCTAGAAATCCTACAGCTAATGTATACATATATAGACTATCTATCATCTGTGTCCGTTTCTGGACAAACGGTTCTGAAAACCCTCGGACTCTCTGGAGAGGTGACTTCTATGCCACAGAGATGCTGGGTAGCTTCAGGGAAGGGCTGGTCACCAGAAAGAAAGGCAGGACTCAAAGACCGGAATTTTCACCTCCCAATCTCCAGGGAGGGGAGAGAGACCAGAGGAAGAGCTGACCCCCAATGACCACAGGTGTCATCAGTCAGGCCTATGCATGACACTACCATAAAAACCCAGAAGAACATGGCTCAGATGGCTTCCAGGTGGCGAACTTCTCTGGTGCACTGGAACTCCACCGGGACGGAAGCCCCGTGCTCAGAACCCTTCCAGGCCTCCCCGTCAGCGTTCATCTGCATCCTTTGAGAATAAGCGGTAAAGGTAAAAAAAAACGTGTTTTCCTGAGTTCTGAGCCCACGATCTGTGAGATCTGACACAATGTCCAGGTAGCGTCAGAACTGGACTGAACTTGGAGGACACCCCGATGACACCTATTGCAGAATCTGCCAGGGAACTGCTTGGTGTGTGAGGGGGTGGAGAGGGATTCCACCTGGATCTGGGAGGCAGCGGAGGCGGAGAGGGACATGAAGTGGTCAGCACAGACGGTATGACCATGGAGGAGGCAGGAAGAGGCCAAGGGCTGAGCCTGGTACCTCAGTGGCTGGAGAGGAGGAGGAAGGCAGGCCAGAAGCGGCCCAAGGAGAAGGGGGAAGGGGTGGGTGGGGAGCCAGGGGTTTGGGTCCTGGGAACCAAGTGGATGAAGGACATGGGATGGGACAGTGCCGAGAGGTGATGGCAATCTCCTGCCCTCACGGTTCCTTCACGGACCCCAAGAAAAGGAAAGAATGCTTGTCTTTAAGTCACAGCTTGGATCGGGGAGAGGTCACTGTGGATCCTTCTCACAGCATGAGTGTCATCGTGCTGCACCTTGGTGTCCAGCCTGAGAAGGCGACACCAGCTCTGCAGCCCAACTCACTCTAAAGAATGCTTAGAGCAGCACCACCATTCAACAAAAATCACCCAGCTCAGAGCAAGAGGATGCAATGGTACAACAGCCATCCCCAAAAGTGACCACGATTGTCCCCCTTCCTCCCAGGCAGGACTGGAGGGGTGAGCAGAGTCTCTCCTCCCTGGATCTTCTCCCCCTGCTGGCTACTCCCTGGCTCTTGTCACCCTGGCAGGAACTGTTTCTAACACCAGCATCTGGGAGCAGGGAGACCACCCTGAGGGGCACAGGACATCTGTTGGGACATCTGAACACACTCATGGTGGGTGGAGGCTGTCACCAAATGGCTCAAAGTCACAGAGCCCAAAAGGAAAGAGGGCCAGGATCACGAGTTGGCCAGAGAAGCTGCCCTGGCCACAGACAAGGCCTTCATGTGGTGAGTTCCACAGGAGCAGGCCAAGTGGACAGAGAACACGGAGGAAGAGTGACCCCTGATTGGCTCGTGTTGGTCCTCCACAGATCAGGAGCCAACTAGGGTGAGGTGAGGTTGGCCAAAGAGACATACATGGTGATGGAACCCCCCTGTCAGGTGGGTTGTGTCAACCCCCTTCTCTGGGATGGAGAACCCAGCAAGACCTTGTGGACAAAACATAGAGAAGGTTCCCAAACTTTGTGAAAGACCCCAACTGTCACTTGACAGAACTTTGCAGGGAGCCTCTGCTCTCCTGCTGGAGAGCCTGGTGACTGCCGTGCGGGAGCAGCCCGCTGTTGGAGGTATTTTTAGTGCAGCTTCAGGGCTGTCTCTGAATTATGCAGCAGAAGCTTGTGAGTCAGCAGCACAGTGAGGCCGCCGCCCACCAGCTCTACGCACATCACACCGCCCTCAAGCCAGCCGGGTGTCTGCCGGCTCTAGGACCACATGTCCCCTCACCCCGGCTCCCCCCTCATCTTCTCCCATCCAGCTCCCTTTACCCCATCTCAGTTCACCCCATCTTCTCCCACCCCGGCTCCCTTCACCCCATCTCCCCTCACCCTGTCTCCTCCCAGCTTCTGCTTCCCTGAGATGTCCCATGCAGTTGGCCACTTTCAACCCAAATCTCTACCCTATACTGTCCTACCCAAGCCCACCCAACTCCTTGGCCTGGCTTCTCTGACATTCCCAGGAATGTCCCTATGGAGTGCAAGCAGGTGACAAAGGCTCAGGTTAACTGATGACAGGCCTTGGTCATAGGTGCCCACCCAGGCAGGGCCAACCCCCCCAGAACAGGGACGCCCACCCCTGGCTGCTCACCTGGCAGGAGCGGAACTGGCTGACGAGCAGCGTGCACCGCTGTGGGTCCTTCCGCCCGTCCAGGCTGTCCAGCTCTGCGGCCACCTGGTTCAGCTCCTCATCAGCATAGTAGAACTGGGCCAGCAGCTGCGGGTCTGACCTCTGCAGGGGAGAGGGGCACCAGGAGCATGAGTACACGTGATAGCTAGAAAGGACACAGTAGCCTGTGGCCTTGTTCCTAGGCCACAGGCCGAAAGCTACCTTGCAACCAAGCCTTCATCTGAAGCCCAGAAACTTCCACCCTGGGCAGTAGTTGGCTCTTCTGCCAGATTCCCACAGAAGAAACTTTAGGAAGATCCCTGGAGCCAAGGTGCAGGCCACCACTTCTCACAAGGCCGCCTGAGACTGTGGGGATCCAGTCTTAGCTCAGCCACAGATGCTAAGGTCCTCGTCAGCACCACAGACAAGGAAGAAGGGGTCCAGGGGCCATGGGATGATGAAACATCACAAACCTAGGCAGAAATGATAAAGACAGCCACTGCAGGAGTGAGACAGCAAACTGTACTCCATGGAAATGCAGAATGATCCCTAGCGCCTCTCACCTCTCAGCCCAGTTTCCACAATGCCAGGAGCTCAGACTCTCCTCCCAGCAAACTCACAGGTATTCTGATTCTGGGTCTAGAAACCACCACTCTTCAAGCAAAATCCAGGCTCCCCGCTCTCCTGGCTCAGGTCTGGGATCTGGCCCACTGCGTTCTTTGCTCCCACCCCACAGCCCGGCTTGTTTCTCTACCCACAGAACAAGGCCACCAGCCCCTGGGCCTTTGCATGTGCAGGTCACTGCCCTGAGGAGTCAAGGGTTCATCCCCTTGTTGCTGAGAGTCAAGGACCAAGAAACACGTTGGAAAAGTGATGAAGCCTCGTGTGTGTTTTTATTAAAGGTGTCCTCATAACCATACAAAGACAGGGAAGAGGGGAACACACCTGACCAAGCACAAATTCAAGCAAATTTGCTTTGAGGTTTATAACCGTGTTTAGAACCACAGCTTATTAAGTACAGGATAAGTCAATTTTAGTTTCTTTTTCCTGTCTACTCCTGTCCTAGGCAAGCCTACCCCTCATTCATTCTGACCCTGCTCTCACCTCCACTTGGCCTTGTCCCAAAGAGGCTTTTCTGTGGCTGCAAGGCTGTGGTCATGATTACGCAGCAGTTTGACACTGCTGACCAGCTCAGAACACTGGACAGGGCAAAGGAAACCCCGGATGCAGTCCAGCAGACCTACACAGGGTGGGACCTCCCGAGCCTCCACCCCTGATGCCAGGTGACACAGGGCACACACTGCTCCAGTGCCTGGGCAGGATGGATATTCCAGGACCTTCCACTGGAGCTTGAGGGGACACTCGACAATCCGGCTGATGCTGCCTGTGCTGACCTAGTCCTGAATGTAGCCCTGCCTGAGTAGTGACGTCTGTCCTAGCAGAGGACACAGGCAAAGATGAAAAGCCATAGGGTGCCATCCTGCTGGCTCTGGTGCTGACTGCCTTCCTTTCCGCCACTGGGCTGCCTTCCTAGGCTCCTATCACGCCCAGGAGGGCGTGACCCTTAGTCACCTAGTGACTGCTCTGTGATGAGAAGGGATCAAGAGTGGGAATAGCAGACACCTGCTTGCCTCTCCATCCACAGCGCAGCTCTGAGCCTCCTGGGGCTCTGACCCATCCTCCCCACTATAAGCCATAAGCCTCCAAGGCCTGAAGCTGTTGACTCACAGGGGAGGACAGAGGCCTTGACCTTAGCTCTTTAGACACGGCCCTCAGAATCCAGCTCAGCAGCTTCCCCTCCTGGGTGCCAGGTCCTTCCGATGTTCTTTAGCCAATGTAGGAGGGGAAAGCGACAGACACTTGGTTACCCATCCACAGAGGCACCTTCCTTCTGCGACTTCTCACTGTTGGGGGGAGACCTGGCCCTGTCCCAGGAAAGGACTGAGCTCACTGCCCACCCAACAGACCTGCTGCCAAACAGCAAACAAGTAGCAGGACGCACTGTACCTGGCACCCTGGTCAGGATAGCACCCAGGTCCCCACGGCCACCACCTCCTTCCCGGCCCCACCTGCTCAGGGGAAGGGAATGCAGGGCCCAGTGGGTACAGTCCCACAGTGAGTGCCTCACTGGAGCCAAGTGCTTCTCTTGGAGCCCGACTGAAGCTCTCGGTCCAAATGCACCTGGGCAGCGAACAGGCCCTCCCTGGTGTTCCCATAGGTCCCAATTGTTGCTCGCTGACGGGACACCATCTGGTCCAGCATCCAGGCCAGGTCCTAAATTTAGGGCACTGGATAATGACCGATGCCTCAAGGAAGCTAAATCTCTGCTTGAGAAAGAGGACATGGTGAGAGGACTGTGCCCAAACCAGCCCAGAGACTAGTTGAGAACCGTGATCTTCCCTGGCATAAAAACTTCACCACATGTGAATAACCTCAAATATTTACGTCAATTGCTAGGTCAGCTCAGGCTTCCTGCTGTCTGGGTAGCAGGAAGAAAGTCTGGCAACAACGAAGGCACATAAAAGGTGACAATGGCTGTCAGGAAAGCCCTGCCTGTCACACACGCCCAGGCTGTCACCCACTCATGAGCTAAGAAAGAAACTGCCATGAGAGGGTCACACACTGTCCCCTTGGCTTGCTGCACACTCCCTCCTCTGTGCCTCGGAGAGGCCAACGAGTGTGAGAATCAGCTTAGGTGGGGTCTTTTCTACCAAAGGATTTACTCATAACCACCGCTGTTACAAATGTCAGTCTCACTAACTCCCATACGCTCCCTTCATGGACTCTGCTTAATGAGACAAAAGTTTCTATTAAGAACAAAGGGTTGTCATCCTCAACGGGGCCAGAATTCTGCTAGATGTCCTCGTTCCGGAGCTGATAACCAAAAACAGTTATTGCTTCTCTGAACTTTTAAACTTCTTTGTCTCCAAAGCCCCTCCGATGTCCTCTTTCCAATTAGCCAACTGTGCAGACTGTGAGTCCAAAACCTGCCCAATTCAGGGAAGGAGTATCATTGCGTGAGAGATAAAATCCCAGTGGACTCCCTGAGGGGTGTGCTTGCTCTTTGTCTGTGGCACGCCCTTCTGCAGTAAATTTTGCCTTGCCTGTGACACCCCAATATCTTAAAGATGTTTCTAACACAAACAACTACTGTGTGTGTGCATGAGTGTGAATGCATGTGTGCAAGTACAGGAGGAAGTACATGTATGCATGTACACTTATGTATGTGTACATATGCCCCTTTGTGTGGCTGAGTGTGAAAAATGTGCACTGTGTACACGCACAAGTGTGTGCACAGGTGCAAGCTTGTGTGCACACACATCTGCATTCATGTCACTGAGCTTGTGCACAGGTGTGTGGGCATGTACGTGCACTCTAGTATATTGTGAGTGTGCATAAATGTGCATGTGTGTGAGATGACTGCATGTGTGCTCTTGGAGGGCCCGTTGGTGTTCCCTGAGTCCATGCCCACCCTCTGCAAGTGGGCTCACTCCCTGGCCTGTAGTCTCTGCATGTTTTTAGGGAAGAAGCTGGGGAAAGGGGAAAGTTAGCCTGGAAGTGTTGGGTCTGGGACCTAAAGGACAGATTGGTGATTATCCCATCCCCCATGGAGAGCACTATGAGCCTTGCACCCTGAGGAGGAGATACAGAGTCTCAGAAATCTGCCACAGGGCTGATAAACAGAATGCTCTCAAGGTTGTTCCCTCCATAAGGAGAAAACAGACCAGTTTATTGACGAGATCCCATGCATGTGAATCCACCGCCAATGAAAAAAACCCACCTAACCGATACCCTAACCCAGAGTTAAAGCGTCCATAAAAAGCCCCAGCCTTCACCTGAGCAGGGAGCCACTGGTTTCTGGGCTCCCTGCACTGCTCTAGCTGTAGCCTTTCCTTTCTCTCTAATAAATCCTGCTTTGTGTACTGGCCTTGTCTCATGAGTTAATCAGCTGCCTCACGCGCCAGTTCTCTGGCCTATGAAGGCCCACACATTTCACACTAGCATGTAACATTTCTGGCAACCACAAAGGGACACCTCTCCTGGACCAATGTTGGTATAACTGAGCACGAAACCAGCAAGATTTTGCCTAAGGTGTGACCGTGAGCCTCCAGCACCCTGCTGGATACTCCTGCTGGGAGAAACTCCCTGCTGAGGACTAGTCAAAAACAGATTTCCCTGTGCTGCTCCCCATATCTGTCTGTCTGTCTGTCTCTCTCTCTCTCTCTCTTTCTCTCCCTCCCTCCCTCTCTGTTTCCTGAGGGACTTTCCCATCATGGTATTGGACCAACAGCTCCTAGCTAACTTCAGCCTCACAGCAATTCCCACTCTGGGGATGCTTTTGGTCCCTCCCTGCGGCAGAAACCAAGCCTGGAGTTTATTTGTGTATGCCTTATGCTATGCGGGGCGGTGGGGGGACCTGATTGGTTTTGACACCTGATGATCTTCTTCTTCTCCTACCTGTCAATACCCCCTTCTGCCAGAGGCAGTGGCCCAAGAGTGGACATTTTGTGTGGCTGACAGTGTTCCAGTAGCACTTAGTGGGAGCGACCTGAAAGCACACCTAATCGTTAATCCCTTGAGCGTGTGTCCTGTTTCTCAGCTCTGTCCCCCCTCCCTTACCTAGGATGTCAGGTTGCCCCTTCTGTCCCTGCCAGAAGCAGTGGACATACTTTTACTCACACACTCCCTCCCCAGTCCTGCCACCTTGTCCTTTATCTCTGTCTGCCTTTCCCTCCCTGTGTTTACTGGGACCCTGGCCTCCCATGGGAATCTTGTACGATAGTTTGTTATGACTTTCTTCAGTTACTCCCACACCTAGTTTGTCATGCCTCTTGGTCTGCACCAGCTTTAAATCGGCTGCTGGGCACTGGTGGAGGCAAAGGTGGTCACAGGAAACTGCAGCCCGAGGGGCAGGCCTGGCGGGTGTGAGGATTGACACAGGCCTCTGCCACATGTGCACAGGCGCAGCCCTGCCACAGCTAACCCAACCCATGGGAAGATCCCAGCTGGCATCCAGAGCCACCACTGCTGCTGTCACCAGCTGTGTGGTGGTGACCTCAACCCATCGCCACTCCCCCCAAAAAAAGAGATGAGAAGGGAAATAAATGTGCTCATGCATGTGC